GTCCGTGACGGACAAGTACTGCCCACTGAAGTGCAGGTACTGAAGAGTTCGTTCCCTAAGTGGTGGCGATGTATGTACGCTATCTACGTATCGTAATGTACCGTAGGGGTGCGCACCACCCGACCTGTGGGAAAGGAAAGTGAATTTAAGGGGTCCCGAGGGGACGCCGGCAGCTTGGGGAGTTTCGACCTAATGTCGCGACTTGAGGTCAAGCGACTAGAGAAAACTTGAAAGGCTGGGGGCATCCGACTAGATCTTACCGAAGCGATGGTGAGCAGTGCTCAAACCTAAGGCTAGGGACAAGAAAATGTATTAGTGAGTAAGTAAGAAGATGATACAAAGGGAGGCTTACTGACCTAGGGACAAGAGGTCGAAACTGAGGTCCCTAGGGCAGCAGAGGCCGGCTTATATGCATGGGGAGATAAGGGCAGGCTGTGCACGCTGGTCCGTGCGCAGCTGGTCCGTGCGCAGCATGCCGACGCGGCCCCGGGGGCCGGTGAGTCAGAGCGGCTGTGTCAGCGGAGCCCGAGCTGTGCCGTGCGCTGCCGCCCCATCTAATCTAATCGTACAGTAGATAGCGATGCGTCCATATCGGGCATGTAGTACAGAGGTCACGGGTTCGAGCCCGCGAAGAGGAAAAAATTAAAAAACGGCTAGACGCCGTGTCAACTCGTGACAAGAACCTCTCTCAAGGGGTCCCGCACGGAAGCTGCGTCTTGCGAACATGAGTGCATAACCAAACCTCCTTCACTTCTCCGCAGGGGCAAGGACCGTACTCTCATTGAGGGGCGGAATCACGCCATCTGGGTCTTCGGCGGTTTTGACGGAAACATTCGCATTCGGTGATGTCTGTGAGCTGGCACACGATCCTTTGTGGTACATAGTGCCTTAGCATTGAGATGGCATGGAAGCTAGAGAGGAGAAGGAGGACGGACAGACTCCGCCAGCATTGCGTAGCACGAATACGTGCACATGCCGTTGTCTGCTCTAGATTCAGCAGCCGGAGATGAACGTGGGAACAGGTGTCAACAGAAGCGATTGTGGAATGGAAGGCAAGATGCATGCATTGTGGGAGGGATGCGTGCAGCGTTGTCCGGAGTTTGTCGAAGGGTTGTGCGACTATATGCTAGCGGGAATATAAAATATAAAGTGTTTGGCCGCGATAGAGTGACTATATGCGCGTCGAGTACCCGTGCACCGACACTACCCGACACTCAATCACGATGCGCGCTCGAATGAGCACGTACGAACGATGGTGCGTGTCCGATTGACAACGCGCGAACGATAATATAACAAATAAACACAAGACTCACCGTGTACATGCGACTCTCGGGTCACTCGTCCGTACCAGCGCTGAGAGAGAACGAGAGAGAGCGGGAAAGCGCGAGATGATTGTGGTTTCTGGGAGAACAGGGAGATGATATTTTCGACGTCGACGCAGGCTTTTATAGGTACAGAGAGGCCTTGACACGAGTAACATCATACGAGACCTAGGAGGAGCGAATGACGCACAACATAGCAATTGATCGCAAGAAGTCCGAAATCAAAGACATTTTCTAAACGCGGATGAAAGCCCTGTCCCGGGCACAGACAAGCGAGACTCGTCATCTCCGGATCGGCTCCACGACTGTCAATGTCTCAGCTTCTCGAAGGTGTGTGCCTCCGACGCGTCATATTTACGCTCGCGACCTGCCGCCCTCAGGTGCGTGACAATGTCGGCACCAACGAACCGCCTACGACAGCCGCTTCACCTCCACATCGGCGCCGTCTTTGCAAGCCTTAGAGCTGTCAAGAAGAAGTAGGTACGTACTTTTGGATTGTCTTTTGGGGCGAAGTGACGGAAAACATATGAAAGAAGCAGAAATTAGAAGAAAAGAAGGGTAACGGAATGTACGACACTGAATGGAAATGAAACCAGATCACCGACGATCGTCTCCGGCTCCAATGTGCTTTCCTCCACCACAGCATCAAGACACATCGTATCCTGTCCTCGGTGTGTTCAGCGCGAACATAGCAACATATGGTATGTAGAACAAAGTTTTGGACACAATTAATAATGTATAGCAATGCGTGTTGAAATTCACGATACATAGCGACACGGACTTAGTTAGTTCTAGCGCGCGGCTTATGTAATACGTACGATACCTACGCGCTGGCGTTGAGACGCACCTCAGTTCCTTGCTACACGAAGGAGACTGAGGTATGTTCTTTTTACTTACATTCGGACTTATTTCTGACATACTGTAGACGGTGTTTGCCCTGTCTCTTACAGGTTAGTTAATGAATATAGTTCCTTGCTACACGAAGGAGACTGAGACGGTGTTTGCCCTGTCTCTTACAGTCCCTACGCGATCGTGCTCGCATCCCTCAGGTTGCGCTTCCGTCTTACGACAATGCGGAGCAGCATCTCCGATTACATATCGATGACAGAATCAACCGTCGCTGCAAAAGGTGTAAACCATTCGTAGGACGTATGACATATCCATACCGCTGTAAGGTCGCGTGTTTTCCGTTCCTTCTGTGATGAATCTTATGGTGGGCAATATGCAGGCGCTGAGTATGCCCCTCGGTCCGAGCACCGAGGGCTGAGAAAACAACATGGCTGTCAGTCTTTGTCGAAATCAGTTATTTCCGCAAACAGAAAACACGACACAGCACATCGAGCTGAAGGCATAGAAGGTTGTCTGTAATGTCTGTGGTCTACGCAGTTCGCGACCGCCTCGTGTCATGCGCGAGACTCAGAAGAGTAGCGGCATCCAAAATATCCTACCTGAGGGGTGGAGTGTCCATGTCCGAGCGAGACACTGATTCCCCGCGCATGGCCTGGGATGCGTTGGCACCAGGGGCTAAGGGCCGATGGAAGGCTCATGCCCGTTGAGTGCCGAGAGATGAATGGCTGTCTCATTGAGCGACGCATCCACCGCCTGAATACGTACGACATGATCACGTGAGTGGACCCACTGGCCTAGGCATGCAACTTGGAGGTATGTGGCTTCTAGCGCAATACATCATGTCCTGCCTAACAAAGTGACGGGCCGCTGGAAAAGCATAAGAGCCTCCTCTGTGGCCGTGGGATGAGCTACACTTGCAATGTGGTTGCATCGCGACTATCATTCGAACAGAGGAAGTATCAGAGATGCAGGCATGCATAGTGGCGAATAGTCTTTTGCGGACGCGAGCCATCAACGAGTAAGGCCACTGGGTGCATGTGAAACGATGCGTTAGATAGACGATTGTATTGACCAATACCGCGCAGTCCTGGACGCACCACACGTTGGAAGCGCGGGAAGTTCAAGGATTAGAACACCAAATGTGATCTACTTTCTGGTCTGAGAGTACGGTACTTATGGCTGCGCACAGCTAACCTAGTGTTGTGTTACCGCAAGTCGCGGCAGGACCCGTTCTCGAGCGATTCAAATGGATCCAAGGGCCCTTCACCAGGAGGGCGAGCATGGGAACGGGGATCGTGATCCATTGGATGAGCAGGATTATGCAGAGCAGTCCGAAGACATCCGGAATGGAGTGAAGGGGAGTTCCACAGGTTGTTGAAGGAGAGGAAGTACTAAGAAAAGAAGCGAGGTAAGAAAAACACGACTCAAAAGAACGCCGAGCGGTCCGAACGGGAGGACCACGGGATGCAGCGAGCACACGCCCTGCGGAGCGAGGAGGATGAGGAGAACAAAGGGTAGACTCGGAGCAAAGGAACATCACTGCAGCACGATATACATCTCTGTTTCTGTGAAGGCGCACTTAAGACGGTAGAGCGGTGACAAAGCGTAAGAGGGAGGGTCGCTTTGTTCTCGTTGTAGCAGTGTTAGATGACAAGGGGACGAAGCCAAGAGCGACACCAATTGTGGGTGAGTGACAAACACTGCTAATCGAACCTTGTTCAGAGAGACGGGTCAAAAATAGCCAGAGACGACTCCACCGAGGGATCTCCAGTGGAAGTACGCTGATACGACCTACGAAACCCTAACCCCTAACCTGGGTGCGACCTAAAGGGACTAGAGAGACGGCTTATAGTCTAATGAGAGGGGAGTTAGCAGCAAGGTGTCCCGCGGTTCGAGTGAACACGAGGAACGCCCTTGGGAAAGGTTACGAACAAACGGGTAGGTTCGAAGTGGCTTCGACACGTCGTCGAAGCTACTCGAAAGCTGTGGGAAGTTAGCGACGATCGAAGCTCGGCAGAGCTCTTCGATGTATCGTAGAAGGAAGGGACACGACTCGATAGGGTGTACTTAGCTAGGGCGCGGTTCGCAGTTTCTTCGACAATAGTCGAAGTCGAAGGGTTCGTCGAGACGGTATCGACGAGTAACGCAGTGGACGAGGTTTCGAAGTTACGCAGCGAGGGACGAAGTGACGCAGTTGAAAGTTTAGACGCGGGGCGAACTCGACTTATGAGCTCTGAACTCGAGGGGGGGACCGGATCTTGTATTTTTAGGGAGAAGTACGACAGGTTTTATACTACACAGGACGCTACGACTATTCGAGAGTGGCATACGAGTACAAGGGGCTTTGCATTGTTCCTCAAGAACCTGTCTCACCGAGAGGCACATACCAAGTCCATCAGTAGAGTGACGTCATGCCGAACGCGGAGATGAAGAGCAACATATGGCCACTTCG